TACTTTCATATATTTCTGCAGGCAAAGGAATTTCCCCCCAGCAAAAGTAAGAGGGATGGTTTGCTGGACTGCGCCCAAAATTCAAACACCCCTACATATGGCCTCTCTCTAGGCAGTCTGAATATCAAACTGTGTAGCGAGGGTCCCCAGATCGAGGGCCAAACTCTATGATTAGAGATGAGAAGCCAGCAGGTTGGAAATGGTGCTGACCACGGTGAAGAGGGAAGAAGCCTGTTCCTGGCCAGTGGGTGAAGCTCGTGCTCTGCCCAGGCAAGGGATGAACATTTGTTGAGCACCTTCTATGTACCAGACACTGATTAGGCATCTTACGTGCCTTATCTCATTTGATCTTCTCACCAGCCCTGAAAAGTCAGTATAATTATGTTTGCAAGGGAGGAAATAGAATCAGAGGAGAAAGGCGACTTCCTCAAGCTCTTTCAGCTTGTAAGTGGCAGAGCAAGGAGTAGACAAGACTCCCTGGCACCAAAGCCCCTACAACCCAAACCAGGAAACTGCAAGCTCCACCTCTAGCCCCTGTCTCTGGGCAGCAGCCCCTTCCTTCCAGACAGATAGAACCAGTCAAGTGCAACAAACCCCTCCTGTCCCAGCAAGAAAAGCTCCTCACACTGCTTATAACCCTTGATAAACCCTCCTGGCCCACCTCTGGGCCATCAGAGGGGCAGCAGAGTGGCATCCTTTACCCCTACCAGGTTGGCAGTTACAAGTGGGAACCTGAGCCAAAAAAAATTGCCATTTGAGGTCTGCCTCCTCCACACAGTAGCTGTGTGACCCCAGACAGTTCACTCAGTCTGAGTTTCCCATCTGCAGAATGGGCATAGCAGTAAAACCTACAGCCCACAGTTGTTCTGAGGATTTAATGAAATGATGCATTTAAAGTACTTGCCACATAGGAATTAGAATGGTGGTTACAGGGGACTGCGGGGAGGGAGGAATGGGGAGCTATTGTTTCATAGGTACAGAGTTTCAGTTTGGGAAGATGAAAAATGTACTGGAGATGCATGGTGGTGATGGTGGCACATCATTGTGAATGTACTTAATGCAGGTGAACTGTATTCTTTAAAATGGCTAAAATGGTAACGTTTATGTTATATATTTTTTTATAACAAAAAGTGTTCTTCACAGTATGAGAGAAAAAAAACGTTCCTTAAACATGCCCAACTCACCCTACCTCAAGGCGTTGCTGTGCCCTCTGCCTGGAATCCCTAGCACTGTTATTCCCATGGCTCGCTCCCTCCCTTTGCTCAAGTGTCTGCTTAAGAGTCACCTCCACAGAGAAATCTTCCCTGATACACCATCTAAAGCAGCACTTCCCATCGTCCACACTCCCCTCGCCCTGTTGTGCTTTTTTAACCACACTTGTCACTACCTGACAATGCACTAAATATTTGTTTGTCTCTCTCCTTCCTGAATATAAGTTTCATGAAGACAGGGGCTTTACTGTCTTGTTCTCTGCCGACCCCCAGTATCTAGAACAGTGCCTGGCACTTAGCAGGTGCTCAATAAGCACTTGTGGAAGAAGTGAAAATAAAGCTTTTGTCACTGTCATTCTACAGTGGAGATAGGAACTCTAGACCCATCCCCAGCTTCCAGAAACCTGGAGTGTGGCAGCCACTGGGAGGCTTACAACAGGAGGGTTAAGCCCACAGAAACGCTCAGAGAGAGCAAGGCACGTGCATTGGAAAGAAAGGAAGGTTGAGCTGCATCAGTCACAATTTAAAATCCCCAATTTGACTGTGAGTCCATGCTTGCTTTCAGTGTTTGGGCCCTTTTATGGGCTAGCGAACCGCTTTCCAAGGAGAGAGGCCACGTGGGGAGGGGTTGTGTACAGGCAGGTCAGGCCTTCTCTGAACTATGGGTATGGACAGAGACCATGGTGAAGCCATGGCTTGTACCCCTTGCAGGAGCAAAAGCCAGCAAACTCTCAGAACGGCTGCGGGCGGCTGGCCTGAGCAAGGCGGAAGTGGGGCGGGGCGGGGGGAGGGGAAGGGCCGTAGGAGGGAGGGCTGCAGCTAGCAGCTCAGGGCTGGGCCAGGATCCCCACTGGGGACAAAGGCCAAGTTTGCATTTCCTCTAAGTCAAGGCAACTGGCACAGTGGACATAGAGATGGTAAATAGAGATTTCCCCAGGGGACATACGGGCATATGAACCTGGGCAATGGGGAGAAAAAGGAGGACAAAAGATTTTTCTGAAAGCTTCGAAGACTGACTTCACAGCCTTCCTTTCTTGTCCATTGTAGTATTTTACCACCTCTATAGAATCAATGGAACTCTTTCTTGCTTGAAGTGTTCAGGGAGTAATTAATGGGCAGGTGTGTATAAGGAGAAATAACATCCCGTATTTTATTTAATGCAGTTGAGGATGGTTCAAGAATGGATTTAATGTTATCAGTAAAGGTCTCCAGCTTTAAATTTGACCCATTGGCATCCCCTTTTTTTTAATGATTGTATGAAACACAATTGCCACTTTTTAGACTTTTTACGTGCCAGTACTGTGCTAAGTACTTTACACAGACTCCATAATTATTACAACAATCCCTGGAGGTAGGTGTTATTTTCCCTCACTTTACATACGAGGAAACTAGGGCTCAAAGAAGTTAAATACATTTCCACAACTAGTAAAGCTGAGATTTGAACTGGAATTGTCTGTCTGAAAGCTGTGCCATGTCATCGAGCACCAAGCATGGTGCCTGGCCCATAACATATGCCCCAAATATTTGGATTCGAATGACTTGAATTAATGGGTTTTCAAGATCCCATTCGCTGAGTGTCTCACCAGCTTTGGGAGATAGGAATGATCTCTACTTCACACAGGGGACACTGAGAATCTGGGAGGTTCAATGATCTGTCGGAGGAGCCACAGCTAGTAACTGGCAGGGCTGACTCCAAGTCCTGTGTGTGTTCTTCTTAGACCCTCCTTCAGGACTCTGTGCTCTCTCAGTCTTGGAAGGGACATTAGCCATCACCTTGCCTATGATGGATTCCTCAGTGACTAGGAGTTCCCCGCCTGTAATGAAATTTCTCTATCATTAAAGTTCTTTTTCTTTCTCCTTAAAATTTATGAAATCTACCTTGGTATAAATATCTATTAATAATGCTTTAAACCAAACCACTATGTCAGTGTAAGAAACACTGTCGTGTATGTTATTGTCATGTACATTAACTTAACTTTCACCACAACTCGGTGCACTGGGCGTTACCATTACCACTGTGCAAATGTGGAAACAGACATGGTCAGGTGATTACCTAACTACGATTTCAGTGCAGACTCTTTCCACTACACCAGGTTCCCCCTAAGTTCAAAGTCAAGTTCAAACTGGGCATTGTGAGATGAGAGAGGGGAAGAAGGTTAGAGGTAAGTCAGACAGTCTTTTTCCATTTCTTGACCTGAGAAAACCATCTTCGTCACCTGCCTCACTCCAGGGTTCACACCTCAGCGACACAACTTCATTCCACCTTCTTGTGCTTAGGCTTAAAACCTGATTTGCTAACCACTTAAAGTGAAAGGTAAACAGCAGGTCATGGTAAAAGGTAATTAGAACAGTAAAAGTACCTTTGGTCATTGCAAAGAGGGGTTAGGTATCCTATCTTGGACTTCTTTGTATTTCCCTGTTGGTGAGACAACCCCGAGCTAAGGGACACCCAACTCCTTGGCCCAGAAGTCAAGCTCAGTACCTATGATGGGTGACAGGACTCGAGGAGGGACCCAGGTTTCCCTCTAGACTAAACCAGATTCCAGTGCTTGGATCAGGAGGCACCTAGGCAGATACGGAGACATTGGGACTCCCTTAGTTCCCAAGGATGGTCAACGCTCAGGAGGAGGTGGAGAGAGGGGAGCCCACACTCAGCTCTTTAGTCAGCTGGATGACAGTTTCCCAGGACAACTGCGGGCTAGGAGAAGCTTGTGTCTAAACCTTAGCAGGGCTTAGGGAATGCCCACAGCCATTCCAGGATGCTTGTTCCATATCCCCAGGAAAGCAGGAACCTAGCAGAGAACCTAGGTCTGAACTAATAGCTCCCAAATTGCCTTCAGCGCCCCAACTGTCCGCTTCTAGTCACCCACCTGAGCAGCAGCCTCTCCATCCCCACAGAGAGTGTAGGGCCAGTGGCACAGGCTCCTGTGAGAGACAGCTATGGAGAGAATTTAGGAGAGCCGAGTGCCTCCCAGGTGAAGCAGAACAACCCCCACCCCACCCCCACCCCGGTTAATTTATACCAGGTTGCTTCAGCGTCCACCTACAACCTCAACCTGAGAGGGTAGCTTCAAGGAATGGTCACTGGGTGTCACCGTTGCTTCTCAAGCAAGTGCTCTCATGGTTTAGCTAACACTAAAGGGTGCTGGAGAGAGATGATTCTTTCCTTGAGACTCACTTTACAGGCTTGAGATCTTCTGTGTCTCTAACAAGCTAAAAGCTCTTCTGACTTCCTCGGACCTTTGCTCAGCTGTTGTTCTCTGAGCCCGGACTTTCCCCATGCTTAGCACCTTCTCTTCCTGCATGTCACCTACCCAGACTTTCTCAGGCCCTCACATCTAAAGCACATCATCCCATTTATTCTTTCTGCTCCTAAATTATTGTATTTTTACAACACTATTATAATTGTCTTGTTTTTTCCACAGTTGGGACCAGCCTGCACATTTGATACTTACTATATATATTATGCTAAGTGCTTCATAGATAATCAGCACCATAAATCTTATACTCAAAGAGCAAACAGATCCCATTTCACTTTATTTCTCAGTTCCTATAAATCAAGGTAGGGGTGCTTAAATTTTTTTTTTTTTAATCATCAGTTTATTCCAGTGCAGCAGCCTCCTTCAGGCTGGAGCAGGGAGTGATGACGAGTATACAGTGTTACAGGTTGAATTATGTCCTCTAAAAAGACAATACACAAGCTCAAAGCAGGGAAGGAGCATGCCTAAGAAAAATGAAAAAGTTGTAGGCAACAAGCATAATACACACATGAGAAGAGAAAATGGCTTTTATTTCTTTTTTTTTTTCACAACTTAAGTCAGAGGCTAAAAATACCAGACCTCAGAGTCCAGGCATTGAGCACCAAGATTCCTGTTGCAGCAGGTACTTCTCAGACACCTTGTCTTCCACACAGCCCACTGACATATCCTATTTTTTTTGATACGTGCAATTATTTCAAAAATAGAACTACTCAGAACCACTCCATTTATTCAAAAACTCTTCCAAGAGGGTCTTTGCTTGACTGCTTCAAGGATCTCTCTGCTGGTAACGACTCTTCTGTGGTTGTAGAAGGACAGCCTCACCGCCTCCAGGCTAAGCCATTCCAGTCGCCAATCTTCCAGAATGCCCAGTGCATCTAAGACCCAGGAGCACCCACTGAAGTCTGGGTGGGCCTGGGGGAGAAACGGAACTAGAGTGAGACAGAGAAGTGAAAGCCTCCAATAGTGAGCGTATTTTGGTCTAACCCAGCACCCAGTACCCATGGCTCCCATGGATTCATGCACCCCTGGAATCACATGACCCACCAAAGAGATGATGATAGGGATGTGATTAAAGAAATGAGGCCATTGTGCCTATCGGTTGTCTCTGAGGAACAGAGGTGAGAGGGATTAGTAGCAGGTGGGAAAGATACCCCTCATCTAGATAATACAGACTAACTCTTGTCACTTTAATTTTTCTGCCTCTGTTTTTCCTGATAGAATCAGAGTTAACATCCAACACCTTCTAGGGATAGAAAACATAATTTTAGAGTGTACTTTCACACTATATATTTCATGTTAGTAAGCATTTTACTTTAACACTTCTCAATTTCCAGCCTTACTTCCTTGTGCCAACATCTCTAGCCAAGTTGGGAAAACTTACTCTTCCTTGGATGGATGTGTCCCTATGTTTTCTGGTCTCTATGCCACTGTTTATCTGTCACCTCTACCTACCATGCCCAGACCTAACTCCAAATTTCAAATTCTATCTTTCCTTTAAGGCTCCTCCCAAGTGCTACCCCGCCACACTCCTGCTTATCTACATTCCACACAACCCTGAGCCCCTCCTCCCACAGAGGACCAGAGCACTTTGTGTTCTCAAACCCGATAGCACACGCTATGTCATTAGTGCTCTTGTCTATAGTGAGAGGGGCAGCTGGAGTAGTCAAAAGAACACTGCCTTGAGAATCACCCACCCAGGGCTCTAATCCTAACTCGGACTGGGCATGAGACGTCATGTAAGCAAGTTGCATTCTCACACTGGGCCTCAGTTTCTTTTTTGTGAAAGGAAAGGCTGGCAGCGGGACTCACAAATTTCTCCTGGTTCTAATAATGTGCAAGTCTTTCCTCAACGCCCTGCCACAGCTGTATTGTGAGCCCCTTACAGCAGAGACTGCATCGTTCTCACCTGAGCTCCCGCAGCAGAACCGGCTCACACTTAAGACACTCATTACATCTATCCAACCAACACCTTATTTTATCCTCACGGCATCCTAAGAGCCTGACCCAAGGCACAGACCCAACCCATTCGAGGCTTGAAGAAGCAAGGTGACCTGCCAGACCCATGCAGTTAAGGACAGGTCAAAGAAAGTCTAAAGATAAGAGGATTGCTTAGTCCAAGTGCTCCCATGTAGGCTCTTCCAGCCAAATGCAGGATCTCCGGCAGTGGTTCTCAACTGGGGATTTTGCCTTCTGGGGAGTGTTTGGCAATGTCTGTAGATGTTTTTGATTGTCACAACTGGGAAGGAAGGTGCTACTGGCATTTAGTGGGTAGAGGCCAGAGATGCTAAGCAACATCCTGCAATGCATATGACAGCCCCTCCCTCACCACAGCAAGGAATTATCCAGCCCCATGATGTCATAGTGCTGTGGTCAAGAAACCCTGCTCTATATCACACCTTCTCTCATCCTGTCTCTCCTTAATCTCATTTTCTCTTCTCTCAGGATAAGCAACAGATTCCAAATGATACTATGGGAATACAGGGGGCTTTGGTACAATTACACACATGACCACTCGGTCTTGCTTCATCATCATGAAGAAGTAAAATTCAAAATCACATCTTAGCACATCTTTCATAAAATCCCTTACTCCCTTCTCTATAACTTCTTTTGAAGGGGAAGACTTCCCCAATTGTTTTCTATGACTGGTACGCTGCAGGGTAAGGTTGAAAGGGCAGGAAGAAATAAGGGTGTCTCCCCACTTTAGGTACGTTCTAAGTCCAGAGCAACATTTAATGAAAACCTGATAGATGCGACACTTCAAAGCGATAGAACAGACTAGGTGATGAATCCCCCCTCTGCAAGAAAAGGGGAGGCCGTTTAAGAATCAGGTTACAGATTGCCTGTCAACAGATACAAGAAAGAGAGACATTAAGAACTCAGGTGTTCAGAGTTGCTGCCAACAAAAAAAAAGCAAGGGGAGTAGATAACAGCTGTCGGCAGATTCGGTTTGCAGAAGCTATTTGCACACAACTCTTCAGGAATTCAATGTGTAAAGAAGGACTCGTGTGTCAGAATAAGTTGAAGTCAAGAACACACCCAGGGCCATTAATATGATACCTTGTCTTGGTCATTCTAAACTTCCAGAGAGCCCCAACTCACTTGCTTTAGGATTTTTCCCATGTAACCCAAATAGGCCTCCTTCTTCTTCCTCCTCTTCTTCCCAAGGACTGAGCTGATCCAGTCATACTTCTTTTTGGCTGGGATATAAGTTTTAATCTTCTTAGATAATCTTAGGCCACTTAAGCAGATGAAGTACATGTGGAAGGCTTAATCCTTACACTTCCAGCTCAGGGCACTGGGCGTAGGCGAGTGTACGCTCCGAAGAGGTTTTATGGGGAGAGCGGGAAGGCTCGTTCCTAATAAAAGAAGTGTTAGTGAATGCACCCGCAACAGATGAATGCTCCCAGAATCCGTAAGAGATATTAAGTGTAGAGTCGAAAGCGGTCTAGTGTTACATTCCTGAAAGGAGCATGAGGCAGGAAACTCAAAATCTTGAGCTTTCTTCTGCTCTATCCCACGCAAAAGAGAAAGTGGCCACTTAGATGTAATGGCCATCTGTTTTCCAGGCAACACTCATCTCAAGTTATTCTTTTTATGTGTCTAACTCCAGGTGTTCTTATTACAGTGGCTTTTAGCCACAAAGATTTCAATTCAAAAGGACTGGGAGTAGAATCCTAGAAGCTGTAGGTTTCCAAAGCATCCCAGGTGAATCCAATGACCAGCCAGATCTGAGATTCATTGGTCTATAAAATCTTCCCAAAGCAACTACACAGATTTGAGGTTGAGACAGCTCTTCATGGACGTTATGCTTATGCCCTGTGTGTTTGTATTTGTATTGGGAGAGAAATATATCTCCTGAAGGCAAGTACATACCTGGTCATGCAACAGCAATCAGGAACTCAGGTGACAAAACTTGAATAGGAAAGCCAGGACGTCACTGTACCTTCTAGACTGAACATTGAGGAATTGTAGATAGAGAGGCCGTGAACTCCCTGTACTTAGTGTATCAGTTCAGCTACAAGGATGTGATCAGTCTGACACAAACCAACAGACAACACCAGAGAAGCAGCATGTCAAAAGAAGAGAGGAACCACACCAAAACAGACACCTTTTTCTCTCCCATCTAGTTATGAGCTCACCAAAGCCCATCAAAGCCCTAGCGGATATAGTAGTACTGTCAGCTTACATTGATTGAGCCCTAACTATGTCCCAGACTCCATGCTAAGTGCCTAACATACTCTATCTCATTTAATTAGCATAGCAACATTATGAGGTAAGGTATTAGTATCACTCTCACTCTACAGAAGAAACTAAGTCAGAAGGGTTAAGTGACTAACCAGGTCACATACAGTGCATAAGTGGCAGAACCCATCTGAGTCTTTGCTTCTAACCCCACACTCCACCACCTTCTGAACACCAGAGGCCCACCCTCCTTATAGTTACATATGCATGCTCTGCACAGTTGCTACATGTATTTATTCATTAATGGAGAACTTTGAATGTAACTTATCCACAATGTAAGCTAAGTTCTTCTGAATTAATCCTTTGATAACAATGACAGAAGCTAAAATGAATGCTTCTATGAAAGGAAAAAGTGATTCCCTATTACCTGGTTGTCAAAGCCATGTCTCACCCACCACCCCACTCCTATTCTCATTTCACCAGCTCCATCTCTCATTATTTCTCTATTCAGAAATGTAATATATGCACAGAGCACATATCATATGATGAAGTGAATTGGGAGTTTTAATGCAAAGAAGTAAATACAAACTGTCAGGTACCATCAAATCTCCGTAGGATGGCACACTTCATTGGACTGGGGGCAATGGGAAGGGTTAGGCAGGCGGGAACTGTGCCAGCATTGTAATGTCGAGAGGATGCTGGAGAGCATTTGGGGAAGGGGGAAAGGAACAGATTTGGTGTTGCTATTGGGAGTGTAGCACAGAAGTCCTGGCCAGATGGCATTCACACATTCAAAAATATTCTGCAAATTTTAGTCCCCTACTAAGTGCAAAACCCATGGCCATACATGGAAATAGTAATAAATTCCCAATAGGAATCACAAAAGTCACCCAGAGGAAAATCATAGGGTGATCAGAAGACTCACAGGCAGATATTAGAAATCCGAATATGCTAAAAAGGACATGCAATAAATTATTACCTGCTAATAACTTCCCTATCCTGGAGACGAAGCAATTTACTAATAGTGATACTAACATATATTTATTGAGTGCTTACTACTCACCTTGAATTATATGAAGCACTTTATAATCGTCATTTCATGGTTTTAATACTGAGAGATGGGTTTTATCATCTCTTTAGTAAAGATGAGGAAATTGAAGCATATATAGAGACACTAATTTGTTCAAGATCACACAGGTAGTAAGTTGCAGCGCTGGGAATTAAAATCTAGTATGTCTGACACCAAAATTCCCAGCAATATTTCTCCAGGTTAGACCCCCTGCCCACCTGCAGCAGAATCTTCTGGGCTGCTTATTAAAACAAAGATCCCCAACCCCCTTCCTAAGCCTCTGATATAGGTATCTAAAGTTTTGGTGCCACTGCACTACCACTATCTCCCAAGTATGGGGAAAATGCTACCCTGAACCAAATCCTATTCAGAAGAGAAGAGCTCATTAGAGACTTAAGAAGGATAGAAACGCTAGAAGAAAGTGACTGAGACATGGCTAAAAGATAAGCGCAGTCAGACACAGATCTCAGAAATGGAGAAGGTAGACTTCAAAGAGACCAGAGAAAATAGAGTTAGGATTCTGTAGATAGAAACTCTAAAAGGCAGGTCAACTCAAGGGAAAACAGGAGGCTCTTCCTTAACTAGTTAGGACTTTGGCTCCCCTCTTGGATTATAATTCCCTTCAACCTGGTCCTATCTCGGTGGAATATCAGATCCAAAGGACAAACCAAGTTCATAAAGAGGGGTGGTGAGTAACAAGAGCAGAAGATGGAACGGCTGGGAGCTGGTTGGCAAATGGGGCATGGAGTGAGCCTGGGCAGTGATTCAGGAGTAAGAATGACTGAAAGGGTCTTGGAATCTGATTTTATGTGGAAATGTCTGCAGGGATGGGAGCGGCCTAAGGAGTCAAACAGCCCAGGCAGGTCTAGGTATTTTAGCATATTGTAGAGGGGATTCAGGCATTGGGTGAGATATTGGATTACATGAGCTCTGAGGTCTGCTAGGTTCTGTAGGTTCTACTTTTAAATCATTGAAACTTTCCCCTTGTAGTATTTCTCTAGGGTTAGGTTGTCAGAACTTGGTTAGAAGTACTACTCATATTATTTCTACCTCTAGATAGTCTGAAGACTTAATCCAATTGATTGGAAAAGGTCAGAGGATCACACTGTGCATTTTAATGTCATCTTATTTCATGATCTTAACTCCAGGAGATGGGCGCTGCTGCAGCTCACCAGCTGAGAAACTCCAGGTGAATGGCAGGAGGGGAGGGGATTTGGGAGGCAGATTAGAAGATGCCACCTTGAGTACAATGTCATTCTTCCTGGAATGTCAGTTCTACAGATACTAAACAAATATTAACGGTGGGTGATATTAGTACTAACTGTTCGCTGCTTTGTCAGGTGGAGGGAAGAAAGGAATTGGAATTTTTCCCAAGCCCAGCAATATCTCCTCTATTCTCTACTCCAAGCTCTTGGAAGAAGAGAAAAAGGGTAGGTGGAAAATGAGGACATCTGCCCCCCACTTAGGAATGGGGTGTAGTAGTACTGGGGTCACTCAGAAAAGCTCAAAGGTGCTGTGCTCCCTATTTCTCTTTACTCCTCCCCATGCGCACTGTCTCACAAATGGATGCCTATGCTGGGTAGTAGAAACTACCCGCTACCCAAATCGGCATTTTAAGTTCTGGTCTCAGCTCTACCAGTGACTCACTCTGACCTAGTCCAAGTCAGCTGCTCTTCTTGGCACTCAGTTTCCCCATCTGTTAAGGGGGTATATGTTTGATTACATGACCACTAAGGTTCCCTAGAATCTTGCTATTTGAAGTCTGGTCTGCAAACCAGCAGCAGCGGCCTCACTTAGGGGTCTTGCCATAATGCAGATTTTGATTCACTAAGTCTGGTGTGGGCTCTGTGACTCTGCATTTCTAACAAGTTCCCACGTGATTTTTTTTTTTTAAAGAAAAGTAAAACTTTATTTCTTTGTTTTACAAATAAAGCTGGCTGTGCTGATCCAAATGATGCTTATACACATTAAAGTTTGAGATGTCCTGCATTAAGACACCATCAATCTATGAATCAACTGCAGAAGTGCCTTTCTGTTTTCCCTCTCATGGGTTCTTATAACCCTCCCAAATTTTGTAACTCTAGGACTACTTCCAATGGCCAGAACAGTTTCAGACTAAGTGGTTCTCTGGCTTGGAGTTTACAGATATGCTACATGTTACTTGAAATAAAATACATACCCATTTACTAATAAATCAATCCACTAATTAATTTACTTATTCTATTCAAGAAATAGCTAAGGGGCATCAGCTTGAGGGCTCAAAATAAAAGTATGAGTAGGGCATGGCCCCTGTCCTAGAGAGTTTAGGGATGTGCCTGGACAGCCAACTCCAACTCAGTGTGATAAGCACTTATGTAATTAGCAGAGAGGATACATTCCAATGAAATGTTTATAGTCAGAAACTATGTTGTCATAGGCAGGAAAAATTCTGGAAGCAGTCCCAGGCTGTGTCCACTCCACGATCTGACTGTCTTTTCTGAGGCCTTAAATCTGTGGATCCTCTGTCCACAGAGGAGGACGTGCTCTTAGGACAGTCCCCGTCCAGTGACTCACGGATAATGATGACTCGCTTAAATTCTTCTGTTTCCCAATAATGAGGACCTGTGGTGTCCCTTAGCTCAGGAGTCCTTAACTTGGGATCCACAGACAGGTTATTTGGGGTGAGAGTGTGGGGGAGGAGTCCATGTGCAAACTGGTTTGTGTATGTGCTTAACACATTTGTCTTGGGAGGGAAAGTCCATACGTTTTCATCAAAGGATGATAAAACCTAAAAATTAAGAACCACTATTTTGTTACTGACCACCTGCTACCCTGAGCCCCTGGCAGTGGTGGGCCTTTCCTTCTCTTCTTCCTCCTCCATCTCCTCTCCCTCTTTAGCTCGTGTCTCTAAAATTCCTCTGTGCTTAGTTTGATTATGTTAAAAGGAGCTCTGTCTGCATTATCAGTCATTCCAAAGAGCTAAGGAAAGATCCTTGTCTCCAGCTCAACACTGTCACAGGTAAGCACAGCTGGGCTGCAGAGACAGCGGAGAAAGAAATTCCTTGAACCTAGAGCCAGGTCTTTAGCAATT